ACTATGATGTGTTTAACTCTGGATTTCCTTTTGTCTTGCTTAGGAATTACTGTTGTTGCTTTTTTTTTTTTTTTCAGTCTGTGTTTTAGTGTCATTCATCAATTCTGGAGAATTCCCAACTATCACCTCTTCAAATACCACGACAATGAAATGATAGCTTTCCTTGGAACTTTGTGGGAATTTTTTAAGATCTCGACTGAAGCTGAATTCTTCCAATGAGAATCTATGTTTGCTTCTGCTAGTGTCCCATCAATCTGTAGCCACTTCAAAGTGATTTATCTATTTGGGTTTCTGAGACCTTAAAGGCAGTATAAACTCTGATCAAAAACCTGCAGGAATGTCCAATTTACGACTGCAAACTGTCAGGGGAGATTACTTACTCCGTCCACTCAGTATCAAGGTTAATATGGACAAAATTCTCTCGTCCTCTTCAGTTTAGTAAACTGGTCACCAATGATGATTAGGTCTTAGGTGGACTCCAGTTTACTTCCTGTCCTCCATGTCCTGCACACTTATTACAACAAATGACCAAGGTCTCCAGGATTCAGCCAAAAATGTCAGGGTGCAAGCCAACTCTGGCCCTCACTACCAGGGTTCCTGCTTTTGCTTAGGTTTGGAGACATGTCAATTCATTGCTTGTATCCCAGATCAGGGATGTATTTGTTCTCAACTGGGAGGACGATTCACGCTATTAAATTCTACATATTGCTAAAAATGCAAGTTTTCTTATTTTTTTAAACATATAGTTATTTTGTATTATATAAAAGATGCTTAAGTCTTGAAGGACTGTTTTTACTTTTTTTGTCTGCTGCTTCTAACTCATTACAATTTAATTTTAGACTGTGAGCTTATATTTGGCATATTTCACTCTGTGTTAACCCTGAGGAACCAGATTTGAGAGTGACTTCCTCTGTAGTTCAGTGTTCGTTCCCGCCAGGCACCCTTGGGGGTCCGGTACACAGACCACTTTGACTCATCAGGTGAGGGTATCCCAGACACCATAGATGATGAAAACTGAAACCACTATTTGTCTCAGAAGAGAACTTAGTCACAAATTAAAGAAGACTGTTTTTTCCTCTGCCCACCACAAAGTCAAGGGAGATGGTGTGTCAAATTAAAGATGAAAAGTTTTTTCTCCAGTTCACCTTTTCATGGTATAGCACTTCGACAGTGCTTAATGCTGACTCTCCTCACACCTGGGCTGAGCTCCAGGGCTCATGTCCTGTCTACCCTAGGGACTCACATTAGTAACTAAGCCCTCAGGTTGCATTTAAAATCAGTTTTGGGGGCACTGAAAGGACCTCTGTTGTGTTGTATTCAGACAAAATTTCTTTTAAAAGGAGCGATTTTATTTGTTTTTTATTTCTATTCTATTAATTTGGCAATAAAACTCTAAGTGTCTGTATACATTTAAAGAGATGATATATAATGTTCCATGGTCATTAGGAAAAACAAAGTCACTTCAATCACAACACAGTGAAAGTATACTTCAGTTCTACATTACAACCTGTTAATGACATATTCATATTCATTCACAGTGTGTCATGAAGGAAACAGAAAGTAAGTAGATGGGAAAGAAGAAAACAGCAGAAGTAAGAGAAATAAAAGTAAGATACATTAGAGAGCTATACAACAGTAACAAAATTATGGGCAAGGGCTCACAACGCATCAACAAACAAACCTTCCCAAAGAAAAGCAGACCCAGAGGGAAGTGTAAGGGGAGTACAAATTTTGAAGTTGATGGAATAAAAAAAGAATATCCACATCTCATAGTTTTTTAATAGTGCTGCTTATGGAATTTTTTCAAAACAGGAAATGAAACCTGTGCACCTTGTTTAGTTTGCAGGAATGACTTTCCTTTTAAATAAAGGAAAGCTTAAGACAATTTAAAAATCACTAGATAGCTTATTGTCAGCCAATTCTCAATTTAGAGGTTATAAAAATTAAAAGATCTCACAGGTAAATCTCAGCTCTCATCACACTGGGACATTTGGCATACATATCTGTTTTACAACTCACTGCTTGGAGGCAGTATTGAACCAACCACTACTCCTATGTGACATTTTTTATGGAATCAAAAATTGCCAAGTTGATCACCTTCAAATCTATCTTTAAGTATGCCACCAAAAAACATTTCCTTATATTTTTTAAAGATAAAAGAGGCTTTTACTTTTACATACATATTTTTTTCATTGTGTAGAAAAGCCAATTACTTAAAATTCAGAGTTCTTGAATAACATATAGAAACACCAAATGTTTTATTTCTCAGTAAAACTGAACTAAAATCTAAGTTCCTTTCCCTAAAGAGCAGACAAGGTTACGTAGTTTTCATTTTGTAATCTTAAAATCACCAATACTTAAACATGGCTTCTGACTACACTTAATAACATGATTATTTATTCTCTGAAACTATTAGTAAGTCATCAGTACCCAAAGATCACTTAAGCATTGTAACTCTACACTTAAAATTATTTTGAGGAACACAGAACAGACTGGTGGTTCCCTAGGGGAGGAGGGGAGGTGAAAAGGTGAAGGGGGGGGGGGAAATTAGTGAGAACATTTGATATCTTGATCTGGATGATGGTTACATGAGTGTATACACATGTCAAAATTCACTGAGCTGTACACTAAGATTTGTGCATTTTACTGAATGCACTCAGTTAATTAATTGAATTTAGGGAAACTATGAATAATGTACTTTCTAACCATAGTGGCTATAAAACACATCAGATGAGAGTGCACTCTTTTGTCATACAATTTCAACATGTCTCTCATCATGAACTATCTCACCAGCAGCAGCATAGATGACATAAATGCTTCCTCCTTACAAATCCCAAAAATTACATTAACACAAACACACTGAAAGGTAGTCTGGAAATAACTTTTGTCCAAAAGCTGAGCTTTTAGGTTCTCCACACAAAATATTTTTTCTGATTAGTCATCAATGTTAGAAGAGCTACTTGATGTGTATCATTATAAAACTCCCAAAGGATATATATTTTTCTCAGTTGCTATAATAATGAAGTTGCCAGAAGTAAATTTAAGTCTGAATTTTGAATTGAGCATCCTGATTCAAAATCGTATCTGCCTCCTAATGATCAAAGTACCTATTCCTTCTTGCCTCAGGAACTAGATAGTAAAATACCTAGCACTTACTAATGAATTTTTTAAAGGCCCATAAATGATTGCTCCCTCAGTGAGGTGCCCTTCTGTCTCACTCTGACCTCTCTGCTTTCAAGGGTCTCACCGTCCACTACTTCCACTAGGAGGAGAGGCAGAGAGAGACCCTGCCTTCTTAGTCTCTTGCACAATAACTGAGCAGGCAATCTTCTGACCTTGCTCTGGACCAGTTTTATTAGAAAACTAATAAAAAGAAAAAAGTTAACAATTCCTAGTGTGGGGCAGAATAACTGGCTCATTTCCAATTGGGTATACAGGCATATGAAATCAGGGTATTCCGGAAAAACAGAATTTCCCATGGAATATCTTCACTTTCCATTTCCTCTACATGATTGGATTCCACTCTCTACCTCCCTTTCATTGACACTGAAGAAATACTTAATGATCACTTCTTTGGGAAGGAGAATATAAAATTACTCCTATCAGCTAAAAATAATGAAAAATCACACCCAGCCTCAGTCTTTCACTGTCACAGATGAGGTCCTCATCAGAAGGCTTCTTAACCCATTTTTCATTGTAGGAACTTTTCATTTCACAAACTTGTTCGACTCCCAAGAACCTCCAGTAGGGTTTCATGAAAATTCAGATTCCCCTGGTGCTCTCAAACTTAATCAAAATTTTCAGCGGGGAAGAAGCCAGGACTGTTCTTTCAGCAAGCATCTAGGTAATTTTTATGATGAGGAAAGTTTGAAGAACACTGATCCTGGGACTAGTTCATCTTTAAAAAAACATTCCACTACTGTTTCCTTTATGAGTCCCTTAGGAAGTAGCATGTGGATTAAAAGTACTGTGAAATGTACATATTAAGATAAAACCCAGTCTACTTTGCAGACTAGTGCCTTACAGTGGCTAAGTAATACATGGAAAGTAAACTAATAGTCCTTAATTTGTTAAATCATTATCCTGAGGGTTGGTGGGTTGAAATCACTATCTTAAGCAGATGAGGTTCCTCTAAATTTCAACTATTTGAAGTATTATCATGCTTTCTATTTAGAGACTTTGCAAAGGGTGATCTTGTCTAGCATGTACTAATCAAAGACCTGTACAGACTAAATAGCTACCTAAAATTTAGAAGACAATGCAAAATCAGGAAGAGCCTCTTCTAACTGGCACAAAAAGAAAAAGTGGGTTTGGGTACTTGCACTTCTTTCACACAAGGATGCTATATCCTTGTGTATGGTACAGAACACAGTACATGGAAGGCATTTAATCCAAGGTTGATAAGTGAATAAGAGTAAGTGAATGCATGGGATATGTGTCAGTGATACAGGAAAAAAACAAACAAACTCAGCAGCATCTTCAGGGGAGAGAAAAGCATTTTTTAAAATTTCTATTAATTACCTGGTAGAAAGACTTCACCAGCCTTTAATTTGAATAAATTACACTGATATTTACTTTCAAAATAGGAAAGGCAAATCTGAGAGGCCCAAAAAAGCACAAAAGTAAAGAAGAGGAAATGAAAGCTAAGGTGGTGCTTCAGGAGTAATAAAATCTGAGGCAAGCAGCCCCTGAGGACAGTCACACACAAAGTCACGTCAATGCTCCTCCCCAGTGTGGGTTTAGCATCACACCACACACACATATTCAAGTGCCAAATTCACAAGAACAATGACTGACCAAGAAAGGAGAAGAGAAACCAAGTGGATGTCAGGTGAAAATCCAGGGCAATATAATGAAGAAGGGCAGAGGGAACAGCGTGCAACAGCATGCAGGTGCCTCGGCGAGGACGGGGGCGGGGGAGGGGGGGCAGCAGGCAGCTCTCAGTGCAGACAAAGCACCGGGAGAGGGAGACACACCTCAATCACAAACAAACCGCTTACCCTCAGCTTTAGTGGCAGTACCATCTTTAAGCAAATTAAAAAACAAGGGAAGGGATAACAGGGAACAGTTAGTAACATTAAAAAAATTAAAAAGCAGAATGTTATTAGCTACTAAGAAAGCAAAAGCTCAATTTGAAATAAAATTAAGAAGGAAACAAACTGAACGGCAAAGCAGAGTCTGAAGCACATAATGAACTTTATATTGAAATCAGCTTAGTACAATGCGCTTTTGCCTTTGGAAAACAAAACCAAAAAAGGCAACAAGGGTGGTGCCTTACTTAATAGAGTGACTGTTTTTTTGTTTTAGCCAACCCTCACTCTCTTCACAGTTCCTTTTTGGTTTAGAACAAAGTACTAGCAGAATTTAAGGTGTGGGGGAAGGGGACTAAAAACTAACATACTGCAGAGTCACTGCAAGGACAGAGGCAAGTACGAGCTCTGAGAAGCTAGCTCTGGCAACGCCTATCCCAGCTACATGGGGAGCAGCAGAAGCTGGACACATGGTACTTGAATCAAGGCCTATGGACTCCACATCTTCCCTCATGTGTCTGGACTCTAGAAATACGGAAAAGGATCATCAGGGTTAATGCTACACTTCAGTACATAAGTAAATGTGGCAACTGCTTGGCAGGATTATGTTATTATATTTTAGGGATTTTTGGTTGTTTTGGACATAAGGAAACTAGAGGTAGACTTCTCAGGAAACAGTAAGGGAATGGGAATACGCTACTCTTGCTATTTGAAGAGGTGACACTGGGCTGAAAATTTATCAGGGCTTCTAAAAGGTCAGTTGTATACATCAGACCAAAAGGCCCAAGTTATTTTATTGGCACTGAGGGAAGTCTACATGTCCACATTGAAACAGCCCAAATAGGCACAGGAAAGAGACCAATAGGTACTCTAACAGCTGGTTTTTACTCAAGTGTTCAATAAAACAAATACTAATTATAAATGCTCATGGTGGATCAAATGTTTTGAAAGATAGATAAATAAAAACTGAACTAAAATTAACAGAACTACTTCACCACAGGAGAAAGTAGTTCTGGCTTCTCTCTTACTCAATGATTACATATCAACATGGTACTATAAACACTCCTGCGTCATGCTCCAGTAGTTAAATGTAGAAAAGGAGGCCTCCTACTGGGTTTCCTCACAATCAGAATTTATCTACATTTGAGGTATTGTCAGAGACAACAAGATGGACTTGACAGACATTCCAGAAGATATTCCTTTCAAATTAACATGCTCCTATCACAATCATGATTTCTTTCCCCCTACAGGATAATAGTGTACAAAGAACTTTTATATCACTTTATTTATCCCTATCACATATCTGGGTTAGGTGACTATTATTACAATGAATTTATGGGTAGAGAAAACAGACTCAAAGATCCCATGGCCTGTTCAAGGTTACCAAGCTGACAAATGCAGGCCCAAGAACCTTCTCTTGGTGATGGCTCACTTTCATGCTCAAAACATTTTTAGAACATTAGTTTTAGAACTGAGTTTGGAATTAGTTTGTAAACCACATAAAAGTAATTCAGTCTCAATGTTTCATCAAGTTTAAATTGTCTTCATTCCTATAAAGTCCAAAATAAAATCCATCCATCTAAGTTCCCAGACTTTGGCTTTGAAAGACTTTTTCTAACAAAAATTCAATTGAAATAAACTATCAGTCTTACATATGGTGGGCATTAACCACCTGCCCAAAACCTGAAAAAGTGGTCTACCACTCTGTCAGAAATTAGTTCTTTTGAAAACAATAAAAAAAAATACTTTTGGTTATTGCTAGAGTAACTGCACGCTGTTCCCAAGGTGACACATGGAAGGACAACACTCTTGTACAATACGGTTATGTTAACTAGTCCACCACATTTACCTAGAAGTCGTTCCCCCCCACCCCCTCTACTCCAGTTATATTCACAAACTGGGAAATAATCTCACTGCAATGACAATCTGTGCTGAATCCCTCACTAAAACCTCTGGCTCTGCTCCCAGCAATGTCAGGAGGGGAGAAAGCCTAGGTTTGGCAGTGAAGAGGTAGCTTAGTGCTGGCTGGGCTGCCACAAAGGGGAGGAAAGCTGAAGAAAGGAGGTGCTCAGTGCCACACCACTTGGACACGAGTGTGCTGACTCACCACTAAAAAAGATGATGCCCCAAGGAAAAGGGAGACTCAATAAAGGGTGGCTGCTACCCAGCAGCAAGTGCACAGAGTCACTCACACTGACATACTGGTGAACAGTGAGTATTTTCTTGGTTATGGCTTTTTGTTAAGTTGCTAAAAACCCTGAGCAGAGGTAGGTATCATCTCAAACAGCAGAACTGGGGGAAGAGGTGGTGGGGTCCTCATTACCTAAGGATGCATATGACCCTGGAGGCAAGGCTGCTGCAGAGCTGAAGGGTGTGGTGCCTGAAGCTGAGGAGACTTTGGACTTGGCGCTGGCCGCTGCATTCACGTCAATGTCACTTCGAGACCGCTGGAGGGAACCAGTCGTTGACACCGATTTGGTACTAACTGTGGAGGCTTTAGTGGTGAGAGAGGAAACGTTAGCAAGGACTCTATTAGAATGTGAAACACATACTGTTAAAACTTGTTTCAAATTTTGTTGAAAACAAATATTAAGTTATAACAAAGGCTGGAGCACATAAGCACTGACCAGCAGCTTCTTCTGGTCACTGCAGACACAGTTCAGCCAGTGTGAAGGAACATGAAAGGGACTGCAGCAATACACCTGCTACACCTACTGTCTTGTAATCAAACACTGCAAACTCCAAAGAAATGGACCATATTTCGGGTTAAGAGGAGCAGTGAAGTAATGAAAAACCGTTCACATCTGGCCAGTTTCCTCACAATGGGGCGTAAACATGCACCCTTTCCTGACTGCCCTTCCTTCTCAGGAAATACTCTGCTCCCCCACCTCTGGGTACCACCAAGCTGCTGCTGCTGCTCAAAGCACCCCAAATGGTCTTCACTCTCTCATCAAGTGATTGGAGCAAAGGAGCGGCACTATTAAAAGCAGTACCCACATGCTGGAGGGAGGGTTGTTGAGAAAAAGGCAACAGAACTCAATTTCTGCCTGCCCATGTTGTCCTGCCCACATCTTCCTGACAATATCTTCCTCACAGCCATCAGACCCTGGGAAGCAGGGTTGTGCTGTGGCAGTCAGAGCAGATCAGAGCAGCATGGTCTGCAAACCTGAGCAACCTGCCAGCAAGTTGTTGGCTTCCAGCAATTGAGCTGCCTCTGGGAGCACGGCCGCCCAGCTGAGGGAAGGAAGCACAGAGGCCTCCCGCAGATGGCCTTCTCACACTGTCAGTCTTACCTCTAGAGGTGGTACTTCCAGTAGGACTTCTTTTGGCAGAGAGTGGCCGGCTGAAATAAACAATCAAATGTGCACTTTATGTACATTCATGCATGTATGATCTACAACAGGAAATTATGGTAACAATTTCAGAGGTTTCAAAATTTGAGGTAATATGGACCACAATCTTATAAACCCCCAATTTGAGACAAAGCTTTAGTGTTGTATGAATGCTATTTTGGACTATCTCTAATCCCACAGAGATAAGTCCTAACTAGAGACAGACATTAAGAACACAGAGTAAAGACAGTAAATATATCAAGTCCCAGGTTCCAATTGTCCTCCCTTTCCAAACCTGTCTCCAAATTAACACTTGTATTCTCTTAGAAGACACTTCAAATAATTCACTTATGTCCCTCCAAAACTGTCATCTAGGACTGCCATATAAATTTAACTAAGAACCACTTACGGCAGAGACTAAAGCCACCATTTTTTCCTCATTTGCCACAGTATCTTACCTCATACCCAAATCCATCTGAAGACGGATGTAAGAGGGAATTGTAACAGGCACACACAGGTAAAAAACACATTCAGAATTTGTGTTCTCATGCAGAAAACTTTAAAAAATAAAACCTCACACTAATGAAAAGCATAGGTGAATTCCTTACTTGAGACTCTCTTGAGAGCTAGAAGATGAACGATCAGATTGGGGCAGAGACACGATGCTGTCTGAGTTCTTCAAATGGGACTGCAGAGCTTTCTGGTAGGAGGACTCCAAGGTGTGGTATAAATGCTCTGCTTCCCTGCTGAAGTGACTGTGGAAACCCCAGTAACACCTAGGGGAGACACACAACTGTCTGGTATAGTTAGCCGATCATAACAGGCTTTTCCGAGCTCTGGAGTATACCACATATTTCCAAGGACTAGAATCCTCAGTTTACCTGCTATCAGTAGCAGCATGACATTAGGACAAGGAGGCTGGTAAGAACCTGCCCTAACAACTAACTGGTTTTTTGACACTGGGCAAATTACTTCTCTGTCTCAGTCTCATTTATAAAATGAAAATTAAAGGACTTAACTTCCAAGACTGAAGCCTTAGCAAAGATGGTGCTAAAACATAAAGAACTACACGTAGAGCACAACAGGGACTCATTATTGGTTGCTTTCATAAATGCAATTTAACATTCATTCATTTGAAGTATTTGAAATTACCCTAGGTAACTGTACCAAGGAAAAATGGAAAGACATTCAGAGCTACTTAAAATCTGTGTTGCATTATGAATGAAGAAGTAAAAAAAAAATTAGGGAAGGGGAAAATACAAGAACAAGAAAAAGAAGAGCATAAACAGATCTTTAACAAACCCATTTCTAATAGTTTTTATCAACTCTTAATATGTCACTTTTTTTGGTAGGAACTAAATAAGCAAGATAAGGGTGTGGCAAGCATTTCAGTGTTATGGTGAAGTCCTCCATAAGACTAAGAAGCCAGGGAAACACTGGGAGAGCAGTCAAAAAGCATGATCAGGATGTATTAACGTAGCTGAGTAAAAGAGATATTCCAGGCTAGTAAGAATACATTTAACCTGTATCAGTTAGAAGAGGTAGTCAATTGTCAAAGTATAGAGAAAACCACTACAGGTACAAAAATTGGCAGCACTAATCTATGCACTGACTGAGAGAGAATAAGGCTCACCTTCAAAAACTTCTGGTATTGTTAGTCACAGTGGCAAAATTATTCCCGGGGAGGTACTGAATGAATGGGGCCACAGCCCTAGGGCTGGAGTGTAGACAGTCCTAATGGCAAACTGCCTCAAGCCCGAGATGGCAGCCACACCAAGTCAGCACTGTGATCATTCAGAACATCAGATCCCCCACCAACCTTCCCTCAGGGCCATTCATTCTGGCAAAGCAACCACTGATTCTTGTGAAGCCGTGGTCACAGGAAAAGATCCCTGTGATGGTGATTTTTCATAGTAAATCAAAAAGTTCCTTTGGATTATGACTTGGCTTTTAACAGCTCAATGAGTAAGAGAAGACATTCAGAGTACATGCAAGTGATATTCTGATTCATGTAGTAATTTCTCATAAATCTAAAAATGAGCATTCTGCTGTCTACTCCAGTCTTGTTTATATTCAAATAACACTATTCAGTCTTTCAAGCCTACTGGACAACCTCCTAACAAATAACTAGAGAAATATTTTGAAATGGTCTTTTGGGGTCATATTTAAGTCATGATTAATGAAACATGTTCATGTAACTTAATGAGTTTTTAATAAGGCAATCTAGACAGGATACCAAATGTAGAAGAAGTTAATAAAAAAAGTGGTGAACAGTAAACACTTACTTTCTGGCTTCTATCCTTGCTTCAGAATCAGCGTCATGTATTCCTTTCTTTATTGTTTCAGCTAATACTGATATGTGTCTAGATATTTAAAAAGGAGGGCAGTAACAGTTATTAACATACAGCTTCATTCGGATGAAAACAGGAGTGAGAGATAACTTCAAAATGGCAACGTGTAACTTGGAACCTTTGTGCCAAGTAAGTCAACTAACAGGCTTAGAAAGTCACAACACTCCTTGCAGATCTTCTAACTTCTAATTCTGTCCCAGTACCCTGCCCCCTAACCTCATCCTACCCCCACCTATGCACACTGGTCACCCTACTTTCCTGTGTGATTATTAAAAATAACAGCTAATTTTTCTTCAGGTCATACTTACTTAGCTCAACCCTTTATGAACTCACACAACAAAACCTATTTTTCCATGATCAGAACTAGTTAGTATGAAAATTATAATGAGATAATAATCTTGACACTGAAGAAGCTATCTGTAGCATGTTTCTGTAATTCAACAGACTTTTTTCAAGTTCCACTAAGTAATATCAACGATCATATAAAATTATGCAATCATTTTGTAAATAGGTATTCTCTTTAGCTATGTTCTACCCTGGCTGAGAAGAAATCATTAAACTGTTTCACTGAGTATTTAACATTTTTAAGAAAAGGGTAATGACTAGAATGAATAGTTTCGCAGCAAAAAGACTAGTTACCAGTCCAGCAAACTCTTCTTTTTGAAGAAATGAAAGAAGACATTCTTTCTTTCATTCAGTAAATATTTAGCAAGCACCTGCGAGATGGCAGATGCTGAGCTAGGAGGCGAATGAATACAACAGGTGACCTCTGAATTCTTCATGAATTTCTGTTCTACTCACCTGTCCCCATGTTAAATCCCTCCCTCCACTTTCCACCTCTAAAGTCCAAAACCATTGGCCAAATAAAGCAGATATAATGTCCACGAGATTAAAGAACAAAGAAGTATTGTTATCTTCTATATTCAAAGTATTTTCAGATGAAACTACCTCTAGGAGGCTTGGCTTCATTTCATCTCTGACCACTGCAGTATGGAATGAGACTCCCAGCAGTACTCAATTTATTAAAATTCCAGTACTAATGTTTAGTATGCCGCAAAGTTCTTCACACAACTTATGCGACACCATTTTGTTCCCAAATTTAACCAGAAAGAATAACAGACACCTAAAAATGACAGGAACTAAAAATGACAAAGAATGAATCTCAAAGAGTTCCACTAAGCCTACTTTTCATTATGATCATGTGAAACTTACCACAGACGAACCTGAATAAAGAGAAAGCTACTGACTTTCTTATACAGAACAATCAAAAAGAAAACTTTCAAATGAGTGAAATTCCTTTAAGGCCATAAGAATTTCACCTTGCTCGCTACAAGCACCTTTAAACATGTACCTCACTGGAACTGATAGGAATGTCAGGCAGCAGGATCCAAGTCAATAAAGAGTCATTCCTTGCTTTGTAGTCATCACCATGCACACATTTTGATCAGTGTAACTCACTAAAAGCTCCTGCCAATGTTATGTGCCTCACATGAGCAGGAATAACAGAAGTAGTTATGCAAACAAATGCTTAGCCTCCTCCAATTCTTATATAAAGGGGTTGGACCACTCACTGAGGCATTAAATCTCAAGATTCAATTCAGAGAAAAAAAAAATCAGCACCCAGATACTCACCGTTCCAGTGAATGTGTCTGCCATTCTTGTAAAAGTAAATCTAAAAACTCAAAACAGCGCCTGAGAATTGTAAAGAAAAAATGTGACTTGGTAATTTGTATGTTAGAGAGGCTTTTTTCTGAAGTGACCCAACACTACTTTACTTTCTATAATTGGTAAATTTCCTCTAATTTTTATGATTCAAAAGCTGCAACATAAAGATGGAATCAGAACTGACTGAAAACCAAAGCAAATAAAAATAATAATCAAACATCTGTGGTGGTCAAAAGAAAAATCACAGAGATATAGGGACAGGAAGCAAGCATTCCCTTCAAATTAGAAACTTGACCTACAAGGCAATTATTATTAAAAAGGCCTATCACTGTCATTTGTTTTTATACCTCCAATAATGTTCATACAGGATGGACACACACACAAAAGATCAACGCACATTAACATTAGAGAATCAGAGAACAAGTTTTGGTATTAATTAATCTGTAATAATTGATTGTATTAATGTGTATTATAGTTTTCTGAGGAAACTCCGTATTGCTTTCCACAACGATAACCATACTTTCTTTCCCATTATCCTCCTAATTTAAAACCTCATACTTCATACAATTATAATCTCAATAAATCTTTAGTAAATGCTTACCCTGTGCTAGATGCTAGAGACACAATGGTAACCAAGACACAGTCCAGCAAGCATGACAGACAAAAAACAGTTACCATATGCCAGGAGCACAAGGGGCTCTAGAAGGACACAGGAGAGCCATTCAACTCAGTCCTCAGGCTGCCAACAGCCGGGGTGTGGGGGTAAAAGCTGACTTTCTCCAAGGAAAGACAGCCGCCTCAACCCACAACTTTTCCTCACTGTCACTTTCCCCTCCCAGGCCCCAACCTAGACCATGTTCATTCCATTTCCACAATTTTCCCGATGTCATTTCCTGGTCTGATTTCTCGTCTCCTTTCTTTTTTCTTCTTTTTTTAAATGTGTTTGTGCCTGGCTATATTTATTTAGCTATCTCAGCTTCAGTTGTTCATTCTTGTCTTAAATGTGTTAAAACAATCTGTTTACTCAAAAATATCACCTGTAAATTCAGTTTTTTGTTTTCGACTTCTTAGACTAACATCAAAGAACTGCATCAGTGTTGACATATTTTAAGCACATCATTATTGAAACACATCAGGTTATAACTTGTCTTTTTTCTTCACCTGCTCCTATTCATCATTCAAGATGCAGCTCAATTTTCAACTTGTCTATGAAGCGCCTTGGGAATATATCAGCTGGTTTTAATTACTGCTCTCTGATTTCCTTAATCCTCAATAGATATGTTGCAACTCACTCCTACATTGCTTTGTGTTACTTTTTTAAATCTCCCCAACTAAATTATAACCTGCTTAAAGGCAGGGAGATTGTGCAATCCACCTCTTACAAATTCTACAAAGCAAAGCTAGGTACAGGTTGAATAAAACACAAGTGCATGCCTCTGACACAGTGCCCTCTTTGGTGTTCTCAACCTTTCTGAAGGCAGAGGGGACTGGGAAGGGAGCTGGTCCCTATTACTTCTTTCAGCATTAAGACACGTGGCTCTGATTAACATTCACTCTAAATAGAGGAACAACAATCTAGGTGTGTGATTTAGGAACTGGTGAAGGAATGGCATTTCTTTTGTCACAGAGACTGTAGGCTGTTATTCATATTTAGTGCCAGAGGCTAGAATTATTAAATGCTTATGGACTGAACTGTGTCCCCCCCAAATTCACACAAAGCCCTAACCCACAACATGACGGCATCTGGAGATGGGACCTTTGGGAGGTAAGTGGGTCACAGGAGGTCATGAGAGTGAGGCTCTCAGGATGGGATTAATGCCCTTTGAGACACCAGAGAGCTTGCCTTCTTTCTCTGCTATGTGAAGACACAGCAAGAAGGCAGCCATCTGCAAGCAGCCCTTATCAGAACCTGCCCCCCAAAGCTAGCACCCTGATCTAGACTTTCAGCTTCTAGAACTGTGAGAAAATTGATGTTAGTTTTTAAGCCACCCAGTTATGGCATTTTGTTATGGCAGCCCACGCTGACTGATACGCTAAACATCCCATTATCTCCCACAACACAGATCTGTGTCAGGTCACTGGAGGAGCCCTATGCGCACAAAGGAAAGACATGCTCAACTCTGCTTGGAAACCTAAAACAATAGTGACAATAAAAATAACAGTAGCAGCAACAAATGCCAGGAACAGCTACCGCTTACTAAGCTTTTGCTAAGGGTCAAAATCCTTTTTCCTAAATGACCTGGAACCCACAGAGTAACTCCAACAAGAGTACTCTCACTCCTGTGGTCAATCAGGAAGAAAAGGGGACACTTCTGCCCCAGTCTGTCATGCTCTCAAGTTCACTACTGTCCCTCTACCAGCTGACTTCACATGCTCCTCTCTTCGGTGGCTGAAGCTGTTCCATAACCCCCTGAGAAGCTGAACGGTGGGGTCAAGGGCAGACTGCCTTCCTCAGACATACACAATTGAGCCATGCAGTTGGAAATGAAGCTTTTTCAGAGGAAGAAGCAAATTTCTTCCTCTCCTGGGTTTACACAGTTGGATTATTCCCCTTCTGTCCTCCCTCATGCCTTCCACACAGCTGTTAATAAGATGGCTATGGGGCCACCTTATGCTTACAAGGCTCCCTTACTGGTGGCAACCTGGTAGGACCAACATTAACAACTAGGAGAGGTGGGAAACAGCAGGCAGCTAAGGTAACCTGGGCTCTGAACCTTAGAGTGAAGGACTCTTCACTGGGCTAGGATTGACACAGAACTACAGGAAGGGGGCCCAAGGCTGCCACTAATTTACCCTACACAGCTCCTGATATGGCCCATGGAGAGGTTCCAGTGGTACCCACGAATCCCCTGAAATCTGTAATTTTATATTCTGTGTATTTTAGTAGACTCTCAAAAGACTGTGACTCAACAGTCAAGGGTCACAGATCCCAGCAAGAAGACCCATATTTCTGGCATGTGGTTTTGGGCCGCTCAGCAGGATGCAACACAAGACAGGGACTTGGTAACAAAGCCCTCACTAGCAACTCAAGCTATACTGTCTGGTTACATCTTCCCTAACTGCAGCAGAAGGTGACCGGTCAGGCTCAGAATCCCAGAAATCACGATTAGAAGATGCAAACAACATACACTTCCTCCTACCTATGTCAAGAGAAATTAACAGCCATTAATTTTTACAGTTTTCTTTCTTACATGCAGATATTGGGGTAGAACGATGATACAGGCAGAGGAATTACCTCAGGAAAAAATGTAAAGGGGTCCTTTCTGCCTCTCGCTTAACCTCCCACCCAATTAATTAACAAACCTACACACACACACACTTTCTCTCTCTCCCACACATAAATGCAAAACATAATAATGTCCAAATTTACTTTCCAGACTATTAAGATCATGATCCTTCAATCCAAAGGCATTTATTGCAGCAATCTCAAGTAGTATTAAACATTTCAAACATGAACTTTTTTCCATGGAGGTAAATTTGCAATTTTTTCCATTGTTAAACAATTCAAAAATAGTAAGAAAAATGTGTAAAAATTTACCTTCTAACTGCGACAGACTTAGAGGTACAGTTGCTTGTTATGACAGGTATGAGCCTAGGAATGTGAGTGTGCTGTGGAGAACAAGAAATGGGTGAGCACTTACAATATCTAAATAAAGCCAAACTAAGACCACCACTTCCTTACTAACAGACCTAAAGCACATACACATTCAACTTAGAACTTCACTGAGTTTAGAAAGGAAAAGGTATTTCATTGGATATTGCCAGAGGTCATGACAAAACTTACAGAGCCGAAGCAGATAACATGACGATGTATAAATAAACCCTTTATCAAAACATATCATTGGCCTGTTATCTAAGCAGTATAGATCTAAGTTCAAAAGAGGTCAACAGACCAATACATATCTTGATACTGTTTTCAGTGGAAATGTCCAATCATGGTTTTGGATTTAATAGCTGAAGTAGGCAGTGCTAACAGTAAGAACTAAAAATAATACAAAGTGACCCATGATAATCAGGAGTATTCTGCATAGATTTTAGTTAACATCATCAAGGGTCACCTCTGGGGCAAAGGGACTTGACAGTGAGGAAAAGGTGATGTGGAGAACTTTCATTTTAAGCCTTTATGTACTATTAAGATTTTACTGAAAACTAGTACATAAATTACTAGGATAATTATTTAAAATTTAAACAAGTGTTTAAAAAATATAACTGAAGATAGTATTCTGTTTCTGTATTTATATACAATTAATTAAATAAAAATTTCAGGTGAATAACAAAACCACAAGCACAAACACCTAAAATGGAATGACTGAGGATTAAGGAGAAAACAGGAGTCATATCTAGAGACATAAAGAACAGAGTATAAACTCAAAAGCAGATTCAGATGTTAAAGTACTTAAACCAATGATGAGTCAATGATCAATACCCCAGTAACTATACACCACACCCATAATTCACATTACAGAATATAAAAGGCTCTTATGCTATAACTGAGGGAAAATGGCCAATATTGTATGTACAACTACAAAAATGCAATGATTGATTCCAACTACATATAATCACTCTAATGAAAAATGTCTCTAATACTGCCTATCAATCACCAGTATTTACCACTTGCTTTTTACATCTATGGCTCCAAAATATACTTACCCTAATGATCAACCTAACAGCTACAACACCAGAAGTGGCCATAATTTTGGCACTGTTTGGAATTAAATTAAAGATAGTTGGCATAATGGCTTCAGCTCCATGGTCAAACTTATTTCCCAGAACTGATGATAGATGCCTACAATAAAAAAATGAACACTGGACTATAGTTATATTTCTGGCAAACAGTGAAGCATGTAAACCTCTTAACATTTTAGAGCATTCATTTAAAGTTTTCTAGAGATAAAGGACAAAGGTCTAAGTAAGATACTTTTAAAATACTTCCAATGTGCATGGAGAGGACTTGGCAAACAGCCATTAGCCCAAGAGTGTGTTCCTTTTTCTTTTTTAAATAAATCATTTCCAACTAATTAGTCTTAAAAGCAAAAACAAACTGATTATATACTAGTAAAAGAAATATGAAACGGCTCCCTCACCCTTTTTTACCCTTTTATTTTTAACATATAATACTCATGCGTAATGTCCAATGGTAGCCAAAACCTTGAGCAGCTGCAATGCCTTCTTCTATCGCTGTTTCTCTGATATCTGACACACTTTATAACACAAAAGTTCTAGCTTCAAACACCGACACAGGTTGAGCTAGGTTAAAATTCTACTGCAGTACATCCCTCTACAACTTTATAGCTCTAATACATTTCTAGAAACAAAGGACTCATATTCATGCTATATCCTGCCAACAAAATCAATGAAAAAGCTGAGCAAAAGAAGTTTATAAAATTTCATTTTTCCATATTATTAATAACAACTGCTTCAAGTTTAAAATAGAGCTTGCAGAGTTAAGTCACTGAATAAAATATGAGGTCTGTCATACTTCACAAAACTGGACAGGGAATACTGTAAAAGTATCAGTAAAGGATAACTGGAATGGATCAAGAAGACGAGTCAGATTTACACTGAAGAGCCCACTGGACATATTCAATGACCTACCCCTGACTTCAAGCCTATTTCACAATGTGGGAGAATCGGGAGCATTGCAATCCTTACCCCAGCGTGATACAAGCCTCCCGCACTACCTGAGACCGCAGATCCTTAGCAGATAGTTTAAAAGCTCCATCCAGAAGACGCAAATGCTGAAAGAAGTTATCATATTCGGCCGCGCCAGCCAAAAGTAAAGATCTAATCTTTTTTAGCTAATGAGATAGAAAAAAATTAAGAGATATATAAAACAATGTTTAAAACAGAAGTAACAGATCGGAAGCCAGAAGCCATCAAATATGATGTGCAATCAGTATCAAAGTTAAATGACATAGCAAGTTTTCCAAAAACAATTCAGCCAATTAAATATTAACTAATATTTCAAATCTGCATATCACGAATAAGAACAAATCATTCAAAAAAATGTAGTATCTGTGATAGATAAACACATTATAAATCTACGAAATGTATTTTTTAATTGGGAACATTTTAGTGTACTTACAGATTCCATTCTAATGATAAAATTACTAAAACCTTCATTTTAGCTTCTAAAAAGCTCCTCCCCTAAGCTTCTCTTCCACTCCAGCTGCCATTTATTTAATGACTTAAAGGGAGAAACACCCCTTCAGTCTCTTTATGGTAACCTCCATTGAATGACTTTAACAGGCTAGTCTGAATTTGAAATAGAATGCAACAGCAATTATACCCCCTCTCCTTGCCAGTCAACTACTGTGAAAGAACTTTCCTCAGGTAACACACCCTCACTTCAACAGTCAGCCCACCTACTGTCATTAATACATTCTTAAAAATAGAAGGGGACAGAACTTTCTAGCAAGTGGTATGAAGAAAGAAAGGAATAGAGGGACAGGTACTGAAAATGCCACCAAAAAGCCACTTAACTGGCCCCAAATCACAGATTAGACCTTTTCTAATATAAGAGTGAAGGCCATGCCCAAGCATTGCATCATAAGGTCTTTGTTCAAAGTACAGGAAATACATAAAGGTATAAGTGGGCATATTTCAAAAGCAGAAATAGAAATGGGGTACTCCATTAAAAAGATAAAGTGTAAATATGGTCATTTACATGTAAAATATTTCCTACTTAAAATTCATTACATCTGTATCCAATTTCTAAATAAAGTATGTAGAATATTTAAATAAATCTAACAAAAATGTAATCACATGAAATCAATGGCTTACAGCATTTACTCTTTGCTCCCAATCATGCTTGTCATCAGATAATATTTCCCTAATCTTGTTTATGGATTCTTCAAGGTCTCGGCAAGAATAAATCTGTAAGCAAAATTAATTCACAATTAACTTAAGAAAATGTACAGAATAAACAAATATTATTTCTTAATTACATGGAATCAAGAGCATTTATTAAGTATAGTCAAATCATTTCATTTTTCAGAAGGCCTTAGAACATGTAGACAGTTTTCTCTTAGAAAGAGCTTCTTCCTATCATGAGTATATACCCACTAGATTTGATGCCCATGTATGGATAACCTTGCCTCAAACACAGCTCTACCAAACACTTAAAAGATGATGCCATGTACAAAAGAGAAAGGAGCCCATGGGGAAGCCCCCCTGTCAGTGATGCCCAAGTCATTTGTTGCCCTTAGTATTATTTGTAACACCACACTTTATCTGTAATTTTAAATGCTTTCAAACTACTTTCTCATTTATCTCCACTACTTACAAAATATGTAGGGGAATAATCAACCAAGAATAAGGTAGGCTGGGAAGGCCAAGGCCTTAAGGATAAACCTGAGCCTAAGCTGCTTGTTATCTGAGTTATCCACATATGGCAGCCATGTAACAGGCTACCCATGATTCACAGACAAGGCGTTCTGTGGGAATACAAACACGGCTATCAATGTGAGCTAAGGGAAAGCAGTCTTAGCCCCAACTCAACAACACATGGAAGTGAAGCACAAAGCAGTTAAAGTGTGTGACTGCACCCCAACTTTTACAATCTTTGCTTCATCTGTTACTTAAAGTGAAGCATCAAGATGGTATAAATTATGCTTTTATTAAATCATTCTTTATAGCCTTTCAGACACTTACATCTTTCAAATTTACAAATTTTTCTTTCTAAGAAAAATCCCTAAATATGCATGCATCTTTGGTCTCTCATCTAATCCACCTCTTCCCCCTCCTTTATGTGACCTGACCCACAAACTTATTACTAGAGAAAAGAACTTCTCTCTGGGTCTCATTCAAAGATCATTGTAGGACTTGACTTTTGCTCTTCTTTCCAGCTATAAAAGGCTCCAACATTTTCTGGTCTGCAAACTCAGATCTCCTAGTCTTGATAGTTAAAATTACCTTACTTAGAAAGGAACTTCACGTAACACATATCAGAAACATGAAATTGGGCAAGTGAGCCTTTACTTATTTTTATTCAAACCCAAATATCCCCATTCACCTGCACTACAGGTACATCATCAAATGCTTTAATAAAGTCCTCTTCATCAACAGCACCAGCTCCTTCTTTTGCAGCTATAAAACAGATTAATTTTTAAAATGTAAATGCACATTGGAGTCTGAATATACACTGTCAAAATTACATTTTGGAAGAGTGTACTTTCTTTTTAAAGGTTTAATAAAAATTTAGAGTGTTGTGAAATTGACAAATATTACTTTTAATATCAAGATGAAATACAGTGATTCTATAATATTATACACATTAGCTTAAAGTCACTTAAAGAGACTACTTGTCCGAGGGACAGTCTAGCCTTTAAAGGATTTAGATTACTTATATTGTATTAATATACAAACCTTTTGAAAGATTCCTAATAAATAGATGTAACAGAAAATTTAACTCAAGGAATAAATTAGATTACATTACTATTACAGATTTAACACAGATCTTCAATGAAATACGTAAATGCCTTCTAAAGAACTTAACAGTTTCATTTTAATTTTGTATGAGTCTCAAAACATTTCCATTTCTTTTAATTAGGATAACTGGAACAGTTTATTATTTATGCTTCAGTATCAAGTATCCCCCATGAAGCTGTTGTAAGGTGTTCTGTATAGTTAAAAGGTAACTGCTATCATTTCAGAGGAAATCACGTGACGTTTTGTCAGATTTCCTTACTAACGCTTTCAAAATTCATGTCCAAGGTCATCTTTGTGACCCTCATTAATGATATAAACTGGTTAGTCCAAGTCTTTTCTAAAGTTTCTTACCAGACAAGCTACCCGGTATTAGGGTCCTGATGGACTTCCTAGAAAGAAAAGGGCTTTACAGATAATTCTTGGTAACAGTAAATGCTGTGTCCCTTCTGATGAAGATCAGTCACACTGGGCTTACAAGCACGCTATAAAGAGACCACAGTAGCAGCATGTTATGATGTGGTATGCCCTGTGTTTTAGCACAGACTGCATCCCTGAGCAGAGGTCCTGAGCACCTTCTCTGTGTGAGGCACCACACCACATGCCCATACACTGACTACAGTCCCTGAGCCCAGGGGATCTCACAGAGTCAACAAAGAAATTCATGACTATACTATAAAATAAAAGGGAAAGGGGAAAAGGATGAGAGCTGGGCTCAGAGGGAGGACAGGGCTGACATCACTGTATAACCTATACAGTTGGCATTTTGGAAGAGGTATAGATAAGAGGGAGGAAAAGAAGTGGTCTGATCATGTGGAAATTTTCAAGCTTGGTTTGTGGGATTGATGCCATGTAAGAACAGATCAAGAAAAAGAATTAGAAAGATTTTCAGCCATAAAAAGGAATGAAGTACTGATCCATGCTACAATGTAGATGAGCCTCAAAATCATTACGCAATGCGGCAGAACCTGGGCAGACAAAATCACATATTGTATAATTCCATTTCTTGAAATACCTAGGATGGGTAAATGCACAGAGGCCAAACGTAGATTATTGATTGCCAAAAGATGGGGGAAGAGAGAAATGAGAAGCAACTGTTTAAAAGATACAGAATTTTCTTTGGGAATGATCAAACTGCTTTGCAACTAGATAGAGGTGATAGCTGTACAACACTGGGAATATATTAAATGTCTTTGAATTGTTATCTATAGAATGGATCATTTTATATTTTGTGAATTTAGTCTCAATAAAGAAAAATTAATTTTTAAAAATGCACCAAAAAAGATTAGAAAGAACTAAGAACAACAAACGTAATGTTAAAACACAGACACAGGCCCAACATGGAGTCACTTCTGCTGTGCCAAGTCACCAAACTGGGGCTTCATACTACAAACCTAATTGTAGTTTCAACCTCCCCCAGAAATGCAGTCACTCGGGAATTATCTGGTCAGCATAGATGTCACATATGCCCTCTCCATCCCCAAAGGAAGATGAGAACACCCACCTAACAAGACGCTTGTCCCTGCCTCATCTCACACACAGGTAGTGCCGGAATGTGCACAGCACGGTCCTTTAGGACACTAACTAGATGTGTCTGTGCCACATCTGCTTGAGGTACTGATAAATGTAACCTCTTTTCTGCACATATGCACTGCTGTAGAAAAAGTATTCAAGATGTCTCCAATGAAGAGGCATCAAAGAGGTTTATCAGAGCACAGTGATGGGCCACTCGAGCCATGGTCCTCAGCAAGACTAGGAATAAACCATCTTTCTTAAATACAATGGCTGTGTTGATTTTAGTCGACGGTAAGAAATAACTACAGCTTTTCCTTCTGCTGTCCTGATGTGACTGACCATCACTCTGCCAGCAGCACGGCATTTTAATACAGAGCTACTGGCAGCGGAGGTGGTGTGCCTGCAACTCGCTGACTCAGACTCACAACACTCTAGTGCCAGGTCAGAAAGTAGGACAGCCAAACAGGGGGACAGTGCATTCTAATGCTAATCCTTACTCCAATTTAGCTCATCCAGCCAAGGTCAAAAGCCCAATGCTAACAGTGAGCATGGTTCAAAAAGCAGTGGCTACACAAATTTTTGAGGTAAAAACTAGGAAATTTGCATGTAAATTTAAAAGGTGACAGCTGCAAAGTGAACATGTATATAACAAGAGTTCAAACTATCTAAACTTGGGGGTGGGAAAGGTGGGATTAAGGGAAGAAATCTTTGTAGATCAATTTTCAGAGCCTCAGGGAGCTAATTGCACCATTTACTTACACTGGTATCACCAGGAAAAATACTACTTGTAGGAATAAAATAGTTCTTATTAAAGAGAAGGTAGATGATCTGACTTGTAGTCTCAGTCTTGACAAACAGAAACTGGTGGAAAGGTCCCATCATAATTCTGGGCACTGCCACCAGGGTATGCTCTTGCACTTTCTCTCAGGGAGGCTTTGCCCCTGTTCGCTGCCTTCTCCAGGCCCTGCTTTACCCATACATAGTAACACAGCAGCTCAAACCTAACATCTGTCAGCTTACCAGTGTCAACAGCACAGCACTAGTTTAATTAAAGAATGGCAAATAGGAACCTTTTGCAAACAGGATTACTTCACTTCTGAAGGACACAGACAGCAAGCACCAAGCACATCTGGTTTTAAAAGCTGGCAGATCTGACCCCCACAACCCCACATGGGCTTGGTCTTACCTGAAGACTTGGATCCAAGAGAAGATGATCCAAGCCGGCGGGTGGTCCCCATTCCAATGTTCCTCCGTGAGCTTGGTGGGGCTTTGGATGATGTAGAACTGGCAGAAGAAGGCCTATTACCATCCACAGACTCTTCATCATCAAAATTTTTATCTGAAGAGTAAGCACAGAAATCATTGTGGTTCTTTTTTTTTTTTTTAAATACTTTATCACCTGAGTTTGAAATGACTCGTCTTAGACTGTGTGCCTACTCTTGGAATCTGGGGTGCCTGTCCAGGCTCCAGAGAGGCCTCAGGTAGGTCCAGAATGCAGCTATAATCATGTTTGCTTTCACATCACCTAGAATGCTCTCCCACTCCAATTTTGGAAAACTGAGAAAACCTAAAGAAGAAAACAATCTCTCTTAAAACTACCACTCAGAAACATTCATTTTGCCATTTTGGCATATTTCTGACCATTCTTTCCTTCAATTTTTTTTAATAGCTGACAAGAGACTATGTATCATTTGGGAACACTGCTTACTTCAAATATGTGCATTTTCCATCTGACGAAATATTCTTCATAGGTACCATTTTAATGGTTGCATAGCACTTTGTAACTAGAAAATGCCACAACTCAAACTCTCCTTTACTGTGATACATTTAGGGTGGTTCTAATTCCTAGCCATTAAAAAAGATACTGCAACACCTTCCTTCTTGCATTTTTGTCTGAATTTCTATTTCTAAGAAAACAATCCTTAAGAACAATATATTGAGACAAAGAATATAAAAGATTTTGATGTTTATACTGCTAAACTTATCTTCAGAAAGATCATGTAAATATATATTTTTCCTTGAAGTTCAAAGTGCCCCATCTTGCCACACTGTTGCTGACACTGAACGTTATCATTTTTAAACTTTAACACATTTGATAGGTGAAAATATTCTTCAGTGTTGTATTTACCTGCTGAGATTGACCATTTATTCGTAAGTTCATTAACTTCTAATTTCCCAAGCAGCAGTGAAACCAATTAATATTCCTCAAGTTGCATTTAAAATTATAAAGAAAAAACATATTTGGGTTTTTAAAAATCAACCTATTTATAAACATCTGATGACACAAAATTAAAGCTATCATGGATGGTACACTATACAAAACACCAAGTGTTCTTATAGCAAGTGTGAGCCATTCAGGAGGCTCCACAAAGAACTTAAGAGTAATTACAAAGAAAACTAACATCTGTAGCTGGCAATACTCATGTTTTCTCAAAAAGGGCATTAGATATCTACCAATAAGTCTGAAGTAAATAATTATTCGTCAAAATACACACAAAGAGCACCCTGTTTATCTTGATTTAGTTGCTCTTTATCTCAACTACCAATAGTCAAGTCTTGTGTCTACTCAGGCCCCTAATATTCCTTACAACTCACTAACAATCCACTTCAAATTACATGGCTTCTTTAATTCAACATTAAGGGGTGAAAATACATCCTTACAAATAAATGCATATACTTGTGCAAATTAGCTTCCTTCAACATGCTTTTAAATTTCCAGGATCACCTTATCAAGTTATGCTGTGTCACAGATCTTCCCAACCACACTTCAACTTGTTACTGATTCAGATGTTCAATGGTCTATTAGCATAGACTGCCTATGCAGATTCAAAAGGTGATTCTTAAAACTGCAGAGCATACTAATAAGGCCCTTCCCAAGAGTAAAACTGAAACAAATGTAAAGGACAAGAACAGCTCAAAGGCAATGTCACTCCCTGAGCACTGCCAACATCAGCAGTGACAAGGACTGGTCTCAGCCTGTCTGTCCTTGGGGAATGGCTCCAAGAGGATCATCTGGACCATTGTCACCATTTGACCATGCTGAATAACTCTCGTCATTCTGCTCAGAACAATAATGGTTCCAGGCTATGGGAGAGTAAATAATGAATGGGGGAAGTGAGGACACTAATGCTTCACTGAAAAATTCATAAATTCTATGTCATGTAAATTCATTAAAATTATGTTTAGCTCAGACTTTCTAACATAGGCAAGCATGCCATTCAGAACAGCATTCAGTTATTGAGAATCATTTTCAATCAGACTAATTTCTCCAGAATTCCTGGGATTTCTGCTTGCAACAATGATAGACTAGCAAGGAAGGACCAGACTTCACCTCTTCCAGTAAATAGCTAGAAACCAGACAACTACTTTCAGATGGGACAGCGGGCAATACAGAGCTGTGATCCCCGAGAGAAGGGAAACGAACAAGGTGAGCTACACAACCACCCCAACTTTCTGCTTGGAGACAATTTCCAGGTCACCAAGTACAGGGAAGGGGAATCCAAACTGTGAACTCTGGTAGACTTGCTAAGTTAGGAAGGTGGAGATAAGAGTTCAGAGAAGCTGAGGTAGCTCGAACTTACAAGGCAGAGTGATGGAAAAGAGGAAGCCACACAGAAGGATGCTACAGAAATGCATGAGGTTCTGGGCCATACAATGAGTGAGATTCTACAACACAGGGAGCTATAAACTGAACAATTACCAAACTTTACACAAATAGGAAGATGTTCAAGCACCAGAGCAGGATATTGTTGGTGACTCACCCTAGGCACTCAGTAAAGACCCCAAGAGGGCAGGCCGTAGTAGTAGGGCAGACCTACTTCTGGAGTGAAGGCCACACTAAGAATGCCCTACAGAGTTTAAAAACAGGCCTCAAGGGGATTAGCCAGACCTGCAAATAACTTAAAACTGCTGGCCAAAACAAAGAATAACATTCTTTAAAGGTATATAACAGAGTGCAGACATCCCAACATTGTAACATAATATACAACATCTATTCAAAATATCATAAACGTGATGAGAAGCAAGAAAATGTGGCCCATAACCTAGAGGGAAGAACAATCAGAAAATAGTAACCAACTAAGAAATGACAGAGACGATGCAACCAGCAGAAAAGAATATTAAAATGGCTATAACCACATTCAACTGTTAAAGGAACAAACAGACATAATAAGAGAAAAGGAAGATTTTTTTAAAGGACCAAATTGAATTTGCAGAAATTAAGAAAACACAGTATATGAAATGAAAATTTCATTGAACAGGATTAAAAGCAGATTAGACAATGCAGGAAAAAAAGTCAGGGAATTTAAATACACAGCAGTAAAATTTAGCCTAAATTAATCACAGAGACTTGAAAAAAAGGGTGGCTGAGAAAAGAGGAACAGAGTCTTAGAGACCTACGGGGTAGTACCCAAGCAGTCTAACACACATGAAACTGCAGTGCCGCAGGTGCGGGAGGGAAGAAAAAACACACTACACATACAGGAACAAAACAGCAGGCTTTATCAGAAACCATGTGTGCCAGAAGACAGCGGGGAGACATCTGGAAAACGGTGAAAGGGAAGTATTAACCTAGAATTCTATTTCCAGCAAAAATATTTTTTAAGGATAAAGGCTAAATAAAAATTTATTCAGACAAATAAAAAGAATTTATCACCAGCAGATGTGCACTCCAAGAAATGTTCAAGGAAGATCTTAAGGCAAAGGGAAAATGATACCAAATGGGGACTTGGACGTACAGAACAAAATGGAGGGCACTGGCATAGTAAATACATAGCTAAATGTAACACTTTCTCCTCATATTTCAACTTCAGTAAAAGATAATTGTTTAAAGCAAGAATAAAAACCCTCAACAATAATTCCCATTTTTTTCATATTCTCACGTAATGGGCAGAAACCTGATGGCTAAAGAGGATAAGGTGGCAGTTAGGGTGTATGGGATGCCACACAAAAAACTAGGGAAGTGTGAGGAAAATGGAAGGAGCTTAGAGTCTGTCCTCAAAGAGCTTATGTTTTAAAAGTTAACTATAAACTTGTCCACATTTACTGAGGATGTCACAGAATGGAATACTGCTCTGAGACAGCGAGGGTTACATCCCCAACTCCTGTAAATACATCCCCAGGAAGGGGATGGGCAGAAGGCACACTGAGTAGCCAATGTTAGGTTTTAAAAACTTAAAAGTTTAAGAACTTACAGTTCTACAAGACTCAGTCTTCCTGGAAACGGATCTAGCAGAATTCCTTATCTTTTTTTTCTAAAAAGATTATAAACAACTAAATGTAGGAATAGTGAGAAGTAGGGTGCAGGAGTTAAGCATAGTGATGTTAATGAGAAGTGACAGTAGAAAGCCTGATAGCAGAACAAACAGACACTAAAATAAAGCAAACACGCAAATAAAAAACCCTCCAAACGGAATGCTCAGAATGACAGTGCCAGTACAGAGGACAGATCACATTTAGCTTAGTAGCACAGTAACAAGGGGTCCTAATTACAACCCCATGCCTCAAGATTGTATTATTTTGCATGTGATCTGTGCACTAACAAGGAAAGGAATCCATATTTTCTACCTGAATTGTAAATTCAAGGAAACAGGACCAAGAGTGTGTTCATTTCCTAGATTAACAGTTGCACAGACTGCTTTAAATTTTGTGATACTTCACTTCACTTGGAAAGGTGTTTGGAAGATAAAAGCCAATTGAGCCTTTTTTTGAAAACTAACACACTGTGTAAAGAAGTTCACCCTATGTTTCTCAGTATTTTGGACACCCAGAAAGTAAAGTCAAATTATCATGGAGGATATGACCTCAGGAAGGGTGCTCAGTTTCAGTGAACTGGGAAATTCTCTCATGTAGAATGTGCCATCCCTAACTGGAAAAATGAGCTGTATTTGCAACTGGACGGTGTTGGCAGAGGGTGGAGGCGCTCTGGGTCCTCCCAGGACGAGAAGGTCTTCGTCTCAGGTTCTCGTACAGCTCTGTAGTTCACAACTAAGTCAGTCCATACCAAACTCTACCATTCACTGAAATCCCCTTTTCTTCAGTGTTTTCAGTTAATCAAATAAATGTTAGGACAGAACATCTCTTTAAAGCTTTAAGTAAGGCAAAAACATGTGAAAATTAGTATTTTTAGCTATGTTGGCTTGTACTATTATATCAGTTTCAAACTTTTCAGAAAACATGAAAACATATGTTACACAGAAAATGGTCCTGCAGTCGCAGCGAAAGCCGTGCTAAGACGGAAGTATATACTGCAATACAGGCCTACCTCAGAAAAGAAGAGCAATCGCATATTAGTCTAAACTCACAATTAACGAAACTAGAAAAAGAAGAACAAACGAGGTC